GCAGGGCTGAGTCACCCTATGGGCTGGGCAGCAACTGCATTCCTGAGCAGAGTCACTGCTTGGGGGCAGGCAAGGGGAAGAGTGGGAGAGAAAGGAGCCAGGTGAGGGGTTAGCCAGATAGAGGGGTCGGGGGACGGCAGACGGGGGGGGGGGGGAGCGGTAGAGGGAAGGAGAGACACACAAGAAGAGAGAAGAGGCTTGGGGAGGGATGCCAATTTTGGTTGGATGTATTCTTGGAGGTTTCATCACATGACAGTCTTGAAGTAAAGATTAATCTTTAATTCCAGGAGACTCCAGGACTATCCTGGAGGGCTGGCAACTCGGAGGGGGGGGCAGAGGGAATGGGGGAGACTTGACACAGGTGGGAGGCTGGGGGAAGGGAACGAGTAGAAGAAAGGGGGAAGAGGCGAGGGAGTGGCGCAGAAGGGGAGCTGTAGAGAGGCAGGCTGGGGGTTGATGGAGGCCAGGCAGGGAACAGGGGTGGAGAGGAGAGGGGGTCATGGAAGAGGCTGAAGAGGGAGGGGGCGGGGATGCAGGAGGCGGTGGGAGATGAACCGGCCTGGAGCTGGAAGGCAGTGTGCCGGCGGTGGCCTGGGGCCAGCGGGGGAGGAGGTGCCGGATACAGGCGGGGCGCGGGGAGGGGAGGGACAGGGCCGGGCTCGGGAGGCCGGGGGTGGGTGACAGCAGGGCTGGGGAGGGAGTGGCACCGGAAGAGCCAGGCGCTGACTCACCAGAATAAATTGCTCCTCATCCAGCACCCTTCGCTCACTGCAGCTGGAGCCGGAGCCGCTGCCGAGTTCGCCGGCTCGCAGCGCGTTGCCCAGGGAAGAAGGCGCCGCAGAGGGAGCCCGGGCGCGGCCGGAGCGGAGGATGAAGATGCCGGGCGAGGTGATCCGGGAGGGCGAGCTGGAGAAGCGCAGCGACAGCCTCTTCCAGTTCTGGAAGAAGAAGCTAGTGGTGCTGACCAAGGACAGCCTGAGCCTCTTCCCGGACGGGCACAAGCGCGCCCGGGGCAAGGAGCTGGGCTTCCACTCCATCCTCAAGGTGGACTGCGTGGAGCGCACGGGCAAGTACATCTACTTCACCATCGTCACCACGGACCGCAAGGAGATCGACTTCCGCTGCCCGGACCAGAGCTGCTGGAACGCCTCCATCACCATGGCGCTCATCGACTTCCAGAACAAGCGGGCCATCCAGGACTTCAAGAGCCGCCAAGAGCTGGAGCCGGCGGCCGGCAGCCAGGAGCGGCGCCTGGCCCGGGCGCCCTGAGCAGCCCGCGGGGCGGCAGGAGGTACGGCGGAAGGTGAGCCCCGGCGGTGGGGTGGGGGGGTCCGATCAGCGCCCCTGAGCCTGCCCGCGCGGGGCTTGGCAAAAGGCTCGGGCGGGCTCCGTTTCCAGAGCTCGGGCTGCTGCGCTGCGCCTCAGTCCGTCTCCACAGAGCTGCGCGGGGTGCAGGGCCGGCGGCGGGGCGGGCGGGCAGAGATCGCGGGCCGGCGAGCTGGCCACGTGCTTAGCGCGGGAGGCATTTCTCCCCCTCACCCGCCAGTTCCAGGCTAGCGCTGCTCCCGGCCTTTAAACAGCGGCTGCCAGCCCCTGAGAGCACGTGGGCGCCTCCCGCCTTTTCACGGGGACTCCCACCGCAGCTGCCTGGGCTCGGCCGGCTCCGCCCGTAGCGCTCGGACGGAACCGGCACCACCCGGCCTTAGGCTTAAAGACCCCCCGCCCCCAAGACTCTTGTATCGGCTAGAAACGCAGCCCTGGCGCCTGCAGGCGGAGGCGCGGATGGAATTAGCCGAGCCGGTCGGCCCTGGAGGGGTTGAATGGACTTGGCCCCACAGCGGCCCCTGCTGGGCAGTGCAATTTAATGATTCCCAGAAAGCATCAATATGCCTGTGGCTTCTTATGAAAGTCACTAGGGATCGTTTTACTGCCACTTCAGCATCCGGCGGCCTGGGATAAGAAGTGACTGTCTAGTAGCTAGTGTGGCAAAATATCTCCATTTTTCAAGAGGAGAAAGGACGCAATAATGGGGATAGGAGAATCGCTGTTGGGATCCTGCCTGCCTCTACTCTCTCTCTTGGGCTGGGGACCTCCTTCTGTGGGTCTGACACTGGCTGGGTCTCCCTGGGAAGACACTCACATCCTGTGGTTGAGGCACTCAGCAGCAGCTGACTTGGGTTTTAATGCTTGAACTGGGGAGGCCAGGCCCTCTTACTACTTTGAGGGGCTACCTCACTTCTGTCTTATTCAAAACACTGGGTGGGCTGTGTTGTATTAAATAGGTTTGCCTGTTTCAGGCTTTCATTAATCACCCCCTTATCCTTCCTCCCCACATAATTCAAGCAGTGGACATTGACTTTTCATGCTGCAGCTTTTGACTGGAACGTAATACTAGCCTTTAGACGAGCACCAAAGCTGCTCCTTAAGCCACTTTGGCCAGCAGAGAACGCTGACGTGTTGTAGACTTGGCACTCCATTTTGGAGACTGAGCTTTTTGTGAGTGTTGCCTACCAGGGATCTCTGGGTGATACTCTGCATGGTTACTAACTAGCAAGAGCAATTTAATAATTATGCCATTTAGTTGAGGAAATGTGGAGAGACACTTAACAGGGGCTTCTTTAAGGAACTCTGTATATAGGCTGGGATTTTTAAATATGAGTGCCAAACTCCCGTAGGCTCTTACCCCACAAGAATATTGCTGTATTGTTGCACTTCTGACTTATTTTCTGTTTCTCTCTTTTAGAATATACCGCTGGATGATAAACCAGATCGAATGTCTTGGACTGAAATGGGACAGGGTACCAATGAAGGAAAGCAAAGAAGGTGGCTGGGAACAGTTGAGTTTCCTCCAAGTTTGAGGCTGCTGAGCAAAGAGCCCTGAGCTTCGCTCCAAGATGCATTTTAAAAACCAAAGACTCTTTCAAAAGGACTTCTGGTGAAGCTTCAGCAAGTTTTTAAGTGGCACAGCTTTGCAAACTCCTTTCATCTATTTATGAGATGCAAAGAATATTCAGCACCCATTGGTGCAAAACAAACCCAATTTAAATTATTTGTGGTATCTATATGTATTTATTTTGATGAATGTCTTTAAGCAGATGTCTTAATATTGCTTTTGCATTAATGTGTCCATTCCAAATAAATTACTTGAAATGTTCACATTTTATTACTATACACTGCGGTGCAGTATGTTTATTGGTGCAGGTTGCAGAATAATAGTTCATAGACACCATCTGGAAATAGGGCTATACTAATGTATCCAGACACTTCTGTTAATAAAAATACTCATGTGCTTTAATAACAGAAAACGGACATGTCTCTAGGAAAGGGCCTGCTTCAATTGGTCTCCAAGCAGAAAATCAGTTGCATCTAAACTAGGAATTGCTATACTGTATCAGACCACTGGCCCGTCTAATCCAGAATTCAATGGTCAGGATTAGTTGCGTCTGAAGAAGGTGCAAGAACACCTGCAGTCACCAGTTACAGAACAAAAGTGCCTTCCAGAATGCTTCCTCTAATACCCCCTGCTTTCTTAGCCCAGAAGAAGAGGGATAACTGAACTGGTTCAGGACAAAATAAAGACCAATCTATATAATCTCAGGGGTTTGGAAAGGTTTATATAATAAGTTCCCTGTTATTTCACATCTCTAAATGCAACTTTTCAGTTTCTAGATCCAGCCAGGATCAGCCATGCTGAATGGAAGAGGCTGTTCTCAAGGGATTTCCAGCCTAACCAGAGGCAGGAAGTACTGTTTTATCAGCTTCTTCTTAGGACACTTTGCAGAGCCCAGGGGTTGGAGAAATAGCTGAACTTCTTGGTACCGTGCTTATGAAAATCAGGTCTTATGAGACTTGTCACTAATTAATCTACATTTCCTTGAGAGAAATTCTGTTAACATACAGCTATCCCTTCTCTACAGCTAGAAAGGGGAAGTGCAACTCAGTTTCAGTGCCAAATGCATTTTTCCTTGTAAGACTTTTCCTGTGTAGTGTTTCTTACTAATGGTCTGAAACTGAAATCCTTAATTAGGTAAAGTTCCCACTGACTTCCACAGAGTCTTGCTTGAAGGAGACCAGAGAGTATTGGTGGAAACTACAAAGATTATCCTGTGAACAGCATGTAGGAGGGTTAATTAGGGGCCAATTAAAGCATAGTTCTAATAAAGAGCTAGTGGAGGGTGTGGCTCAAAAGGGAAGTGCTTGCTCATCCAAAAACTGGGAAATGCTATGGCTATAAACTACTTAGGAGGCTTTATAAGTTATGGACTAGCTGCTTTTTTCCCACTGGATGAAATAGGTTTCAGCTATCTGTTGGTTGGACCAGCTTGAAGAAAGTCTTGGTTCTGATCCCCTATGTATAGGCTGGTGGGAAGAAATGCTCTGCATTGAGGGGTTTGTGCCTTAAAGCAGGATACAGTACTTAGGTTTCCTGAACCTACAGGTTTTTCAGTTACCTGTACTGCAACCTGGAATACCCTCCTAAAGAGGGGTGGGTTTCTTTTTTCTCCAGGTGGGGTTAAAGCATGACTTAAATATGGATTCAACTGGTGTTTAGGACACCACGTCTGAAAAAATCTGGATGACCTGCCTTTACTTCCATTCTACAGTGTAAGAGAGGATAGACCCACACCTGTAAGTGGGAGTGGCTGAAATGCAGTTGCTGGAACTTCTGTAACTATTCGCACTTGATATTGTTGTATTGATCAGAGGCCTAAATGAGGATCTGAGCCTCATTGTGCTAAGCACTGTAAAAACAACCTGACCTCCACATTACTCCTAAAGAGAGAGGGCTGTATCCTCATTGGGTTCATTGACTTCAATGGAACTAGGCTGATTTACATCAACCAAGGATAGGGTCCTACCTCTTGTAATTGTGTAGTACACACTTATGTGTGGAGCCCAGAAGAGTCTGCAAACTATCAACGGTGTGGAATATCATTTACTAAGGCTTTGTAAACTGCTTCAATAGCAAAAGTTACTGTATACGCTGCTGAAATGCATAGTGCTGGTTTAAGGCTCATTTTATTTTCAATCTGGGTTAATGGAGGCAAAAGTCCTGATATATAATCTATATATAAACATTGCACATTTTAGTTTTTGTAGATAAAGTAGACTTACATGTAGCCTGGATTACTGAACTCTCTCCTCTTTCTGGGGTACTTTATTATTAAAAATATACAAAAACAGAGCTATATTGACAGTCAGTTGCAAATAACCAAAGGCTGAGACTCCAAACATCCTGTACAAAATTCCACCTAGTGTTGGGCCCACGGTCCGTGTCAGGGGAGGAACAGATGCACATAGCCCAAGCATAGCACCTACAGAAGAGGGGAGAGAAAAAGGGCATACAGAAACTACAGATTAATTCTAATTACAAAGCTTTAATGACAGTTTGTTGAACAGACATAATTTACATGGACTCTGTGTCTCCAGAAGTGTGTAACTTCCACTGTGAGCCATCTCAACTCTCCACTGCAGTGTTCACACAACAGGAATACTGTAGTAAAGGGCAATCAGATTCTGCACTCTTCAAGAAAGAATTCAGTGCCCAATACTGGGAGCTAGGTTCTGATTCTGGAAGTAGTCCTCTTAGTTAGGCTTGCAACTGGGAACATTTATTTAATTAAGGGTGTGGTAATTTACACTTTAGTACTCTGTCACTTGCAAAGCTTGGAAGATCAGACTTTTCTAATACAATAATTAGATGAGACAGCTACTACTAGTGCATCTCCACCTTACTAAAACCACCTATCACAATTTGTCCTCTTGCTCAGGATATGGGATGTTAAGGATTTGCAGTATAGCAACTTGGCTCTGGGAGGCTGGGTTCTAACTAGTCTGTTCAAAAGATGATGCCCTAAAAAAGCCTCATCACAAACCAAGATTGCTTCAATATGAATGAACACATGCATTGTATCCAGCTCCACCAGATTCTTGTGCCATGCTGGGAGCTTAAAGGGAGCAGGAGCCACAGGCAAAAAGAAAGCACTTACTACTTGGCAAAGTAGGGCCACTTGCATGTGCACATGCAGATGAATGGACATGGAATATTAGAGCACATGTGGTAGGGTGCAGGCACGTTATCCTGCTATTCATATAGGAAAACCAGTATAGCACCAAAATGAAAAGCCTTAGAACAGGACATCAGGGAAGGAGAAGGGAGGCAGCTTGTGAGCTAAGCTTAGACTTTGGTCACATTTTGACCATTTTAAATATTGGTATGTTTGTTTTGCTGTTTGCACAGGTGAGAGAGAACTCTGGATGTAGGCATTTTGACTTTACATAAAGATCCTGCTGCCAGGTGTGGCACCGTACATGGAGGCCCTGCCTAGCTAAATGTGAGCACAAATGCACTACTTGATTCTACTAGTTATAAAGTGATGGAGGACCATGTAACTGGAACAGAACTGAGTCCAAAAGTCTTTAGGGGAGTGTGAATTAGAGGAAATCTGACCAGTCCTCAGTCTAATGCAGATCCAAGCCTGCTGTACTTCTATTCATAATGCTAGTTGAGAAGGGAGTCAATAGGAGGGGGAGTAGCATGCGTGTGTGTCTTCGAAAATTTTTTCTGCCAGACATTGAGTACTGCTCCCCATCAATGAGCTGGGTGGATCCCCAAAATTGACCTCTCCCAGTGGGAGCAATCACACAGCCACCAAGCTTCCTGGGCAACTTCTACATTTTTTTTCCCCTCCAGGCATTTGAACTAAACTAATTACTATATACAGCAGCCAAACTGGCTCCCAACAGTTGAGCTGGCACTTTGTGGTGTGTGGGTGGGTTGCGTGTGTATGTTTAATCAGCTATCCATCATCTAAACAGGCTCAGGCTCCAGGTCTGCACCTCTGAAAGGTTTATTTTGCTGAAAGATAATTTCTGTTTCCCAAAGAACCAGATGGCTCCAAATTAGATCCTCCAGTACGAACCACCTCTGATCTTTAGGCAGTTTGAAATCTGAATTTACTGCTCTCAGAATGTTAACTGCCTAACAAGTGTCTGAGGATCAGTACATTAGCAAAAACATCTGCAATGCTCTGTACAGCTCAGTCCAATGTAGAAGCAGCCAAGTGCTGCATAAATTCAAATCCACAAACTTTTTCTCATCCTTTTATTCTGGCTTCTCCACACACTACCCTTCCCCCAAAGCTCTTGCATCTTTGCACCTTTCGCTATTCTCCCTTCACTACAAGTGGCCCACTCTCCTTCTCCCTTCCTTTATTCCCCTCCCAGCCACCCATCATTCCTTGTCCTACGCAGTTACCTGCCTTGCCTACGATTGCTGATTCAGCCATCTTCCTACCTCAGTCTTCCCAACCTCTCTTCTTCTGTAAACTTCAGGGCTTGGGCCCAGAGGCCTCTGTAAGTGAAAGGTGTTGGGGCCAGTGGTTTCTCAATCCCCTTTTAGTTTAGCTATTGCACCTTTGTGCTGCATTGGACTGCCCCAACTCCCTTCTTTTTGATTTATGTCATGTTACAATGCTATGGTTAATGGGGTTGTCCTACAGCTGGCCTCAGATCACAATGCAGCCTAATTCAATGATCAGGGAACAATCAGGGAGGTGGCATATTTTGGACCAGTCAACTGATAGCTGAGTCTGAGCAATGGAGGAAGAAGGTTGGTTATGAAAAGAGGGGAGGTAGGCTCTGTAGCAGGAGGGGAGCCACACAAGGCTAGGAAAGATTAAGCAGGGCTCCCCTACTTAGCACAAGAGCAGGGTTACCCCAGCACAGCACACAATGCAGCAGTAGAAGTTGGCTGCCAAAAGTTTGGGGATGCCACAGTGCTGGAGACTGGCTCTGGATTTAAGGATCAATTTGTTTAATCTCCATGGTGAGCTTTACTTCTGAATATACAAGTCAATCCATAAACCAGTGAGCCCCCTAAACCGGACCTGTGCACAGAAACAACATCTCCATTCTAGGAAGCGAGATTGAGTTCCACCAGGGATTTTAATGCTGACAGGTCACAATCGGGGCTAGCCTGTACTCCCACCCAGCTCTCCCATGCCGATGATGTTACTCCAGCATGCTGCAAAATCCCTTTCTACTTTGAAGAAAAAAATAACAAAACAAAAAACCGCACAGGAAAATGAAAGAAATCATTTCCAGTCCACTCTTTCAACAGAAAGCCCCAGTGACTGGTAAAAAAATGAGTGGGAAACACATCAGCCCCCATTAGGAAATGACTTTGGGAAAGCAAGATTTGATGCAGAGATCTGAATGATCTCAGCAAGTGGTAATCCGTACCCATGCCTATTTGGGAAGGACAGGGACGCTTTAATGTTTGGTGACAGTGGAGAAGAAAATCCTCACTTGACAATCGGCTTCCACTAACTTCTATCCAGTCTTCCAGCTCTTTGATAAGAGGAGCACTCTAATCTGGGGCGAGTCCCCTCTTTATCATAAAGGCCTGACCCAGGGCTTATTAAGATCAATGGAAAGACAACAACTGGTTTTAGACAATATAGGATAGGCCTCTTAATGAAAAGATCTTCAGAAGATTCCTTCAGCGAGACTCAAGACAGACACAATTCCCAAGGGAGTTCCTCAAGGTGAACTGGCGAATAGAACGATCTTGCGAATACGAGTTCTTTAAATTAACTGAAAATCTTCAAGGCTAACTCCACTTTCTGTGTTTTTGATGTGAAAAGCTTTAATGTCACAATATCACATCAAGCTTAAGAGCTATTAAAAGGCAGAGATTTATTAACAAATGCAAATAGAAATGACTAATTTGTAGGGTAAATTTAACATTTGTACAGTTGGGACAATAGTTTTATCTGGAATGTGGGTGGAACGGCTACAGTATGGTGTCACCCCAGATCAGAAATGGGTGGCAGGCATTTTAGTAGCATTGTTTCTCTGGGAGACACCCATACTACATTAGACAGGTACTCCAAAGAAACATCTTACACATTGAAATTGCTCTGCTAGGTCAGATACTCTTGATTTCACTGTTGCCTCTGCCTTGAGACAAAGTTTTAAAAACAAAATCCTACTTGAGAAAGTGAATGACTCTCAGGACCCCTCTTTTACTGCGACCTCCTCATGCTTTTGCTAAAGAACTACAATCCTGACCTGCAGCAGCACCTCCTGCCAATCTAGTTTTGAGCCCAAACACAAGTCTGCCAATGCACCTCAATCCTAACCTACTAGATCCCCTGCCATTGCAGTTCTGGGCCCATGCACAGCTCTCCAAATGCACACAATCTTTTCTTGCAACACTTCCCAATGGGCTAGTTCTGGGCTCCATACAACCTCTGCAAGTGCACCTTTGTCCTAAGTTGCAGTACCACCCCTTCCACTGTCCTTCAGCAGAGACTGCCAATTTTGCTGAATTGGGGGTGGGGTGTGACCTAATAATGTACGCAAACAAACGAAGACTACGAAGAGACCACTAAACTCATGCTCACTTGTGACTGAAGTTAGCCTCTGGGCTTTGAAAGAGACGCATGCTCCATTTTTCCTCACAAAAGCCTTTTGAGAGCAGTCTGGATGCTTTCCAGATTTGCGCTATGTTTAAATGCCATTTACTGCCCCTCCTCCACTGCTCTCCCTCAAACATTTCTTGAAGACTTGAAACTCCTGATTTTCATTCACACAGAATCGAGTCCTGGAAAGTTCTGTCCTTAGCTCAATGTGAACTAAATACGTTTTAGCAAACAAATTAAATTCTAACAGAGATTCAATGGCTCAAAGTGCTCACAATGTATGCTGGGTAGATTTCAGCCTTAAATCAGGCTAACAATGGGACATTCTCATCCAGAAAAATCCCAAAGTGCTTTACAACCTTTGACAGACTGCACAAACTACGAGTTAAATTTCAACTGGGCTCTGTATGGACACCTGCCCATAAAGCTGCAGCCGGAGTGGGGAGTGCAGGATAGAATCTGACTGGACCAGTTATGGAGCTCCCAAAAGAGGACGACTCCACAGATATTTGTGGAGTGGAGCCATGGAGGCAGGGCTTAAGAGAGCAGAAGCACCACCTGCAGATAGGCACTAACTCATCTTAATATGCCCCATTCCACACAAAAGGACCCTCTACTTCGAGCAAGAATAATTTGGACAGAGATGGTGGGGGCCAGGGAAGGCTTACCAGAACATTGCTGTGGCAGCACAGATGTGTGCATACATTTTCTGGCCACATCTGAAGGAAATAAATATACATGTCCACCACTGAACCACAGCCTCTTCTATGGCAAAATGCAACAACTCTTTTAACAGCACAAGGAAACATCACAAAATAGCTTAAGTAAAAGTATTATAACCAGCTGCAACCAAAGCTGTAGCTGCTCCTCTGAGGGGTGTATGGATTAGGGTGGCTGGCTCTGTGGGTGACCATCAGCAGTTTCACTGTGTCTTCACATAGAACAGCGAGGCTGTTAGGCAGGAGTCTTTGTTTTGTCCAGTGTAGATAGGACAATAAGGTTGCTTGGCAAAACCCAGGAGTCTGCTGGGCTTAGCAGCCTCTCAGTTGCCCGCTACCATTGTGGAAAGGAAGGTTCAGAGTGTCATGCTGATGTTGGTACAATATGTATAGCCCTGCATCCTGGGAGAACTCTTTCACTGAGGGAAGGCACGGACATTCAGATGATGAAGACTTTTTCAGGACCATGACCCTTCCTCTCCAATAGGGTGGTGGCCAGTCACTTCCTTTATTAGAATACACAGAAATCATGACTCCTTTTAAGATTCATATCTATGGTGACTCTCTGGCTGAACAGGGCCCCTCATTTACAAGAATATGCTACCATGTTTCCATTCTGAGCATTTATTGTTTATCATGGTGTCCCATAGCCTGGTTTTGCATGAAAAGAAGCACCTGAGTGACAGGAAAGCTGTGTGGACCTTTCCTTGTTGGATCCAGACATATGGCTGGGTATTTGCAAGTGGAAGTGCAGGCAACAAGAGCCTGAATGACTATGAGGAACGTACAGTCAAAAATGGAGTGTTTGGTCAATATTGTACAAGCTAGTCCTTTGTTCATCCTGTACCTGCTCATCCTTGTTTCTGACATAAATTACATGCAGTTGTTTGAACAGGATTTCTCAGGGAATGGCATGTTTCTCAGAAATGTGCCTTAGTGTAAAACAAAAGCTGCACAACCACACTACAGCAGTGTGGCAAGGGTGCTATGAAGTGTGACAACCTTAAGATACGACTCAAGCTAACTAGCTGTCCAATATTGTAGCTCTTCCTTTTATCCTAGCCCCTTCAAGGGCCAAATCTATTAATCTTAATCCTAAATCAGTGGACCAAACTGTGGGGCGCGCCCACCTGGGGCGGCGCAGAGGAGAGTTCAGGGGGCTCCTGGCCCTGCCCCCAGCTGTGACCCCAGCCTCAGCCCTCTTACTCCTGTCCATGTCCCCCCCCCAGAGCCGTGACCCCACTCCGGGGGAGGGGGGCACGGACACGGGGAAGGGGGGAAATGAGGTGAAAAGTTTTGGGATCGCTGTCCTAAGTGCAGAGGGCTGACACAAGGCCTTGTGATTCACCTAAGCCTTAAGCATAAGTAAAGCTTTGCACAGATCCTCTGCAGCAAGGTGGATTTCAGTCTAAGTAAAGGCTGCAGGATTCTGCCTCTTGTTATGCTGTCGTCAATTGATGCTGGTCGCTGGCTCACTTGTAACTCTAGTCCTGCTCCTTCTGACCAGCGTTCATTGGCTGGCAGAGATGCGGGACTAATACAGGTTACGCTTTGTTCTTAGTCAAATTATGCCTGACGGGATGTGCTGGGAACTCGGCATTCTTCCCACAACGCTCTAAGTCGTGGTTGGCAGCACAGCACCAGCACAGCTGCATTTATGCACATGCCAGCTCACAGCTTGAAACCTCGGGCTTTAAAAGTCACAAGGCCCAGAGTCTGAGCGTGAAGATTGTCTAATTAAAAAAAAAAAAAAAAAAAAAAAATCTCTCGTCTTTTAACAAGTCTTACCCGTGTCAGAAGGAGGGACGGACTTGGTGAGAATGCTGTCTGTAATGATGCCCATAGTGCAGAGTGCCAATACCATGGGGAGAGCAATGACGCAATAATGGAACACGTTGGTCATCAGCACCTGAGTGACAGAACAAAATATACCCTGTCTATTAGAAAGCCAGCTCCTGCGCAGCACGAGATACAATCCTACCTGGATTTTCATAAGTACATAGTGCACTAGACTCCTGGTTGGTGTACAGTGGTGAAGCCCTGATGCAGCAAAACAGATTTGCACCAATAGAAGATCCAACCCATTCAAATCACTTGTGTTAAATCTGTGTTGAATACAGTATTATAAACATTCAGTATATGTAAGAAACTGTAACCGATACATTAACATGTAGAACCTCATCTAGTTTTGCTTTGCTAATTCACAAAGCGTGATAATTCCCACAATCCCCCCTTCTTCCCCCAGGCTGTGTGCTCCACCTCTCAGGAAAAATTTAATAGCAGGGGCCTGTAGTGCAGTCTCATTAAGTTCTCATTACTTATACAAAACAGGCTTCTACAGCACCCATTATAAAGCATCATCATAAATAATTAAAACTAAACTTTGCTTGTCAAAATAAATGAACACAGTACATTATGTAATACTGTACCCTTGGGATCGCTAATCCTGTTTGTCAGTATACTTGCTAATGAATTCACTGAATTCAGTAATCTGGAACGGGTCTCCCACATTAATAAGGACACATTAATGAGCATAATTAGTGAGTGTAACAATTTTCTTATTGCACATGTTCTGAGCAGAGACGTCATTTCAGAAGTTTATTACTTAAACAAAAGTACAAGAATAAACTTCTTATGCAGTGGGGCTAAACCAGCTCTGAATTCATTCACAATCCCTACTGGTCAAATGAATGGATTTCTCTGGAGCACGGAAAGGAAATTAATGCCCCTCCTCCCTCACTCTGTACTGGAACTCTATTATCCTATGTTTAATTTCGAGGTGTGTTTCTTTTACTGTCATCTGGAGATCATTTATATCCTTTGTTAAGCTGGAAGTTTTACTCATTGGATCATCCTGCATGGGTTTTCCTTTCATAAAATCCAGTCAGCGTCTCTTGGTTACAGAGGGAAAACAAGCCCAGAAACATACCTAACTCATGACCTACTCATGCTGAGGTTTAAAACATTGTCCTGACTGGATTAAAAAGTATGTATATATTCAACCCCTGTCTGGAGGCAAAGGTAGATAGGTGCCTTAATTTCCATGGGACCTTTGCCTGAGTTTTGAGTCAGGGCTACAGAATATAGCCTTGGTGCACAAAATATTCAGACCAGTGGATGGATAATAAGAGCTACTTTGCTAGAGCAAATGCTTCCAGAGCTCATGCAGGGATCTCAGGAGAGAATGCAGCTTTAACACTCCCCTGACCCACAGGAATTATCTGCCACTTGGGCAGTGTGGAGGCAGCAGGGAGTAGATGGAGCAGAACCATGGCTTCCTGCATTAGATGATAAATGCTGGACGGGCCCTTCAATAACAAACAACAAAAGTGGGGAATGACCGTTAAAAGCAGAGGGAGTGCTGGGGAGAGTGCTTTCCCCCACTGAGGCCCTATAGGAATCAGGGTTGGAAGGCCCCAGTATGAACATGACTGCCAAACCTGGGATTTATTTTTCAGATAGGGAGGGTTGTGCCTGGGGTCCCAGGATGGGGGCTCAAAGGCAAATGGATGGGAAACAGGAGAGAAGGGGCAGGACAAGTCAAAACCAGGCACCCCCTAGAGGAAAACATCCCTCATTTGACTGACAAACCTTTCTGCACCACCACCCAGACCCCCTGTTAACGCGTAAGCCTTCCCACACCTGCAAATGAGAAGCATCATCTTCTCTGACCACTGAATGCTCATCCCAGCTGTTCAAACTCCCCACGTCTCCCAGCTGGCCCACCCCTGCCCCATCTTCAACCCCCGGGTAATAGGCACCCATCATCTAGACTCCTTTCAAGCTGCAAAATTATCCTCTTAGGTCATGAAAAGCCCCACAGAGCACCTCCTGTGCTACATGCCAAAACCCTTCCAGGGAGGTGTTTAGGTTTCTTTTTCAAACATCTGCTCTCTCTACTTGCTTCCACTCATGAGGAAAAGGCTTTGTTTTGCACACGTGGCATCCATTGGCAGGCCAACAATAGCAAGTACATAGTAGGAGGAAAAAATTAAGTTGAACTATCTTTAATGCTCATTCTTGGAAGGGAGGAAGGGGGAATTAAAGTCATAAACATTTTATGAGCCCAGATCTGTAATCTGAGTGCTGGGGTCAGCCAGGGCCCTCCTGACACTGCGACAAGCTGCCTCAACAAGGCTCATCCCTGTCGGGACCTCCATTATGAAAAGCCACCCCGCATGCAGATGTTGTCTTGGCAGCCCCTTGAACAGAGCACTTTTTAATAAGCTCTCCTGGGTGGAAAGGACTGCAGCTGTATTTTCCTATGAATAGTTGTCATAGGAAGTCATTCCTGACCCTTGTCTCTCAGGTCCATCAGGATGTCCCAAGCCCCCTAGGCATGTCCTAACTGCCAGCTCTGAAGTGAATTCACAGCACAGTTCCCCCACAAAGTTAGTAAGAACTTCTTTGGGCTGGATTTCTTCCAACCATGGCTTATTAATCCACAGTAAGTGGGGCAGTTATGTGCACTGCCCTGCAACAACACTGTGATCTGTCCAGAGGAAATTTAAATTATGCTCTTTAAATTACTCCTTTTTTAGTCTTCCTCATTATTATTACTCAAAACATGCCCAATAAATGCATGCATCCCACTCCTACTGCTTTGGATGGGTTTCAAGTCTTTTAAATGACACCTCATCTAACAAATTCACTAAACAAAGAGTCTGAATGAGAGATGCCGTCTTGCTTGGCTCATGATGTTCTCATTATTGCCTTTACTCATTTCTCAAGCTTCTGAGGTAATTAAAGTCTGGTGCATGGACAGGAATGTTAAAATGTTTCCGTCAACCTGCTCCATCACTCCTGAGATAGCAAGACTAAGGCGGGTAATTGGGCTCCACTCAGGTTCTGCATCTCTGGCGGTGCCATTGAAGTTCATCCATTAGGCTTGTTTCAGGCCAGCTGTGTGTGATGATGATGATGATGAATGGTATGCTGGACTTATGGCAGCACAGTATGCAACCCCATGTAGGATTTTGTGCTCATGATTTTGATTCCTCAGTTCTCTGGCTGGTAGGGCTTAGGAAGCCTTACTAAGACAGGCCATTTTATCTGGGTTGAGCAAGGAAAGGGTGATTTGCACCCCTTTTGTGTGACCCAATTTGGTTCTTATGCAGTCTCTGGGTGGAAGGACAGGTCAGCACAAAGCAATCAGGTGACTTGGCACAAGGTCACCCAGTGAAACGATGGTTTACTTTCTCAGACTAAAACTCCAGAACTTCCTGGCTCATAGCTCTGTGTTCTAACTTGTATAGGGGACACAGTGTTGCCTAATAGCTCAAGTATAGGTCTGGATGTCAGGAGACCTGGATTCTATTCCTTACTCTGGCATGGATTTGATATGTCCTCCTGGAAAAGTCACTTAACCTCTGTGCCTACATACAAGGTTACAGTGTAACAGGTATGTGAAAGAGACTTGTCATTTTTGCCACTGTAACACAGCCATTTCATTGCAACATGACACAATAATCAAATGCTAGTTAGAGGGTTCAAGGCCAAACCATTCAGTGAATTTCTAAAGGCCGACAGCTGAATCTATTGTCATTTTTCTCTGTTATCCTCATCCAAGACTTCATGCACCCTGGAGTCTTGGCAGTTCAAGACTGAGGTACACAAAAAGTGTTCTATGTTTCATTCCAAAAAGGCACTAATCTTGATTGTTAAAAACAACGAACCAAAATGACCAACCCCTAATATCACCAGCAAACTTTTGTCGAAGTGTGGGTTTTTTGCCTGTAACTTTCGCTTACTTTCAGAGACATTCAGGAAACATAACCAAGCAAAAACGGAGTGTAAGATTTTCAAAAGCATCAAGTTACACAGGCCTGTTCTCAACATGGTTTGTACTGGTATGACTCTTTGGGTTAGGTGTGTGGGGAATGTGTTGTGGGGTTTTGTTACTGTTGTTTTTGTTTACCAAAAGAGTTATACCAGTACAACCCCTAGCGTGGTCACAGTTAGGGCTTATCTACATTGCAATGCCTTGGTTGGTATCCCTGTGCCGGCATAGTCTCCTAGTGTAGACACAGCATAAGCCAACAGTAGTTCTGACAGCACGGTAATGTCCCTGAATTAGCTAAGTGGACGGAAGCACACTTCTGTCAGCCCCGTTGTTTTTACACTGGGGATTTTGCTGGCATAGTTGTATGGAACAGCAGGCATGGGTGGGTGCGTGTGATGCCAGCAAACTCTGTTGGGTAGATGAGGCCTTCCAGCAGGATAAAGTTTTCTTATAGTAATACAGCTTATTCCTTTTCCCATATAGGAAGTACCTTTATTCCACTATAACTGCATCCACTAAGGGTTGTACTGAGTTAACAGCACCAGTATAGGCTGAGAGTATAACTTATGTGTAGACAAGCCCTTTAGGAATACAAGTTTCACTGAAAGTCAATGAGCCTTTTGACCCTAAGTCACTAAGGGCCTGTCTAGGCTACAAAGCCATATTGCTTTACTTCATTAAAGCAGTACAACCTCTCTAACATGGGCATGGCTATATTGGTTAAAAAGGTGCTTCACGTCAGAATAGCCACGAATGTAGGGGGAAGGGGGATAATTATGCTGATAAGTCATACTAATCACACTAATATAACTGCATCCACACGAGAGCTGTTACCGGTATAGCTATATTGGTTAAAAAACTCCCAAAACCCACACCCCTCATCAATATATTTACGCCCGCGTAACTTTTAAATGTAGGCCAGGCCTAAGGATCTTTTAAAAATCCCACCTCTTCTCTTACCATAGCAAAGCCCACTCCACTGAAGACTAAAACACTCAACATGATCAGGTTCCTCTCTGTAAAGCGACTTGTTAGTCTTCCAATTACCAGACCCTGGACAACCTAGAAAAAGAGCAAACACACATATATGTTAAGTACTATATGAAATATCTTATCAGGCAAGCTATAGGGGTGGAACTGTTGCCAGTGTTTCAAGCAAGGACCTGGGAGTCAGGACTTCTGTAGTGTGACCGTAAGTGAGCTACTGACTGCCTATGCCTTAGTTTTCCCATCTGTAAAATGGGAATAAGTGTAGGTCACTATCTCAGTGGGTGGTTGCAAGACACAGTTCATTAGTGTATGTAAAGCACTTGGACCTGGAAGGCATTTGGGATTCAAAGTGCTGTATTATGAAATGCATTCTAGATTAAATTTACCCTGCGCAGAGGACCAGCATAAAACCTGTGTGTCACTTAAGACCTCTATGTAGGGTTTAAATGGGTTTAAAAGTTTTGTATTCCAATGATAAAGCTACACAAATCTGCCAGAAAGATACATGATATCCTCTAGGGTGTGGATTTTCCCATTAAACTGTGTTATTACTAGAACTGGTCAAAACTTTCAAATGAAGTTGGTTTTTTTTTGGGGGGGGTGGGATGTAAAATGCCTTTTATACCAACATGAACATTTTTACGACATATAATTCATTTTGGTTGAAATTTTTCATTTTGATAAATGTTGCAATTTTTTTCCTGAAATTTTCACTTTGATGGGGGGGGAGGAGGAGGAACACACTTGCCTTTCCTTCTCTTCCTGTGTCTTTTATAAGCATAAAAAATGTGTTGCTATGGGTTTTAAAACTGGAAAAAAGTGAGAGAGTTGGTTACTCTCCACCCCGAGCGGGAGGGAAAAAATTTAAACACCACTGTCAGAGCCACCACTGTCAGAGCTACCAGGCAGCTGGGAATTCTCCCAACAAGGCAGCACCACCAAGCAGACTAAAGTTGCAGCTTTGATTAGGAACCTTCTTTGGGGTCATCTGGTTAGGCCCTTGCTTGGGGATGCCAGTTGATTGGCATGGGCCTATCACAGGACTTTCAGGGAATGACCTCAGTGCTCACCAGCTCGGGCATAGGGATGACTCACTAGAAAGAGGCTGAGGGAGACCAATTACAAAGCATGCTGTGCAATGGCAGGAGGTGGTTAGTGAGGTGATCATAGTGCTACAACCAATTTGTGGCACCATTCAATGGAGGGAGGAGAAGTGGCTGAGTAATGCTTCTCTAGGCGTACCTTTTTAAAAGTGTGCAGTCATTAGCCTTTTGCAACATTCCAGTCTAACTAATCAAATCTCAAGGAGATAGATGCATGCCACGAAGGCCTGTCACTGCTGGATTAGACCTGCAGCTTTGCTGAGTCACAGCTGCTTACCCAACAGGTATTGTAATGAGATCTGGAGTTTGATCTCCAGGTGACTGACTCAGCCACAGTGAGTTTCTAATACAGTATTAGAAATTTGAGCTGCTCACTTTTTCACATTGATCAATGCAAGCCTTAATTTTCTCAGACTGGAACCAAGAGTGCGCCTTTATTTAATTGGGTTACACCATACAAATTCAGCCCATTCCCTGCCTCAGTTTGTCTCTTCCTTATCTCTCTCCTGCTGTGGTGACTGGAGCTAAATGCACAGCAAGAATTAAAAGGCTGTCCTGTCCCAAAGTCTTCCACTAGTATATGGAACCTGAGACATCCCTCACAATGAAAATATGCTACAGGAACTCCTCACTTAAAGTTGTCCCAGTTAACGCTGTTACGTTGCTGATCAATTAGGGCACATGGGGCTCATTTAAAGTTGCACAATGCTCCCTTATAATGCTGTTTGGCAGCCGCCTGCTTTGTCCACTGCTTGCAGGAAGAGCAGCCCATAGGAGCTAGCTGGTGGGGGCTTGGAACCAGGGTGGACCGGCAGCCCCCCATCAGCTCCCCTAAGTTCCCTGTGCAGCAGCCACCCAGCAGACTACCAATTGCCGGCAGTTCAGCTGTCCCGCCCCCCACTGCCATGTGCTGCTCCTGCCCTCTGCCTTGGAGCTGCTCCCAGGAGCCACCTGCTTGCTGGTGGTGGGGGGGAGCGCAGGAAGAGAGAGGCTAATGTCAGGGTGTGCCCCTGCCCCCTGCTCTATGGAGATGGGGTAAGCAGGGGTCAGGAGCAGGACTCAGGACGGAGGGAGCGTGCTGGCAGCAGGGGCTGTCTCAACTTGCTGATCTACTTAAAAAGGCAAAAAGAAAAGGAGGACTTGTGGCACCTCAGAGACTAACAAATGTATTTGAGCATAAGCTTTCCTGAGCTACAGCTCACTTCATTGAATGCATTCAGTGGAAAATACAGTGGGGAGATTTATGTACACAGAGAACATGAAACAATGGGTGTTACCATACACACTGTAAGGGGAGTGATCACTTAAGGTGAGCTATTACCAGCAGGAGGGGGGGGGAACAGGAGGGACGACCTTTTGTAGTGATAATCAAGGTGGGCCATTTCCAGCAGTTGACAAGAATGTCTGAGGAACAGTGGGGGGTGGAGGTGGGGGAAATAAACATGGGGAAATAGTTTTACTTTGTGTAATGACCCATCCACTCCCAGTCTTTATTCAAGCCTAAGTTAATTGTATCCAGTTTGCAAATTAATTCCAATTCAGCAGTCTCTCGTTGGAGTCTGCGTGACCAGAGAGATTGAAGTGTTCTGGTCACGCGATTACGGACATGAAAATTGTGATATTACAACAGAAAAACTTCAAATCCAGACTCCAGCGAGAGACTGCTGAATTGGAATTCATTTGCAAATTGGATACAATTAACTTAGGCTTAAATAGAGACTGGGAGTGGCTAAGTCATTATGCAAGGTAACCTATTTCCCCTTGTTTTCCTAGCACCCCCCCCCCCCCGCCCCAGACGTTCTTGTTAAACCCTGGATTTGTGCTGGAAATGGCCCACCTTGATTATCATACACATTGTAAGGAGAGTGATCACTTTAGATAAGCTATCACCAACAGGAGAGTGGGGGTTTGTTTGGGGGGAGAAAACCTGGATTTGTGCTGGAAATGGCTCACCTTGATTATCATACACATTGTAAGGAGAGTGATCACTTTACATAAGCTATTACCAGCAGGAGAGTGGGGTGGGGGGAGAGAAAACCTTTTGTAGTGATAAACACCCATTTTTTCATGATTTGTGTGTATAAAAACAAACATCTTCTGTATTTTCCACAGTATGCATCCGATGAAGTGAGCTGTAGCTCACGAAAGCTTATGCTCAAATAAATTGGTTAGTCTCTAAGGTGCCACAAGTACTCCTTTTCTTTTTGCGAATACAGACTAACACGGCTGTTACTCTGAAACCTGACTTTATGGCACTGAAAAAGCAGCAGCTGAACGTCAGTATTATTTCAATCTTTGTGTTCTGAGCTCCTTCCTTGCATGTAGCCTCTGTTTTAAAGAGCATGCCGTGGGCTGTTTTTCTTGGGCTTATTCTCACCCATATGGTGCTAACCTTTGTCCTTTGAAGTACTGTGAAAAGAGACCTTGCAGAAATCTGGTCTGTCATCAGTGAACAAAAGAGGAAGGAAATAGTTTGCAAGTGAAATTACAAGAGCCGCCCATGGCTGTGTACACATGCCATAGGTGAAACAGCTTTATCTTTTCTTCTTGAAAGACAGATAAGCCGCTGAACCGCCAGTGGAAATATTGATCTGGAAACTCCCAGCAAATACTTTTAAGCAGTGAAATCTCTTTCTAACTTCCATGCTCCATTTGCAATTTAAGTATTTATCCACAGTACAACAGTCATTGGGTGAGAGAGGGAATGACTCTTTAGTCCAGTGGTTAGGGCACCCAGTTGGGAGGTGGGAGACCCAAGGTAGGTGGACACAGCGAGCAGCTGCCCAAAGCAGCATGTCTCAGCACAGGATTACAGACTTGGGCTTGCAGTGCTACAGGCCAGTGCTAAAAATAGCTGTGTAGATATTCAGACTCTGCCTCTTTAGCCCACCCCGCTCCCTAAACTTCAGAGCCTGAGCCTGAATGTCTACCTAGCTTTTATTTTCTTCCATAGCACAAGCCTCACAAGCCCAAGGATGTAGCTCCGGGACTCAGTGCTGCTCACTGTGTAGATGCACCCCCAGAGTCCAGTGCAGAGGTGGGCAAACTACGGCCCGCGGGACCATCCTGCCCGGCCCTTGAGCTCCTGGCCTGGGAGGCTTGCCCCTGGCCCCTCCCCCGCTGTCTCCCCTCCTCTGCAGCCATGCCGCCGTGCGGGCAGCAGGGCTGAGCGCCCTGCTAAGGGGGTGGCAGCAGCACACGTGCGGCGGTGAAAAAATGGGTAGGAGGTCCTGGGGGGCAGTCGGGGGCAGTCAGGGGACAGGGAGTGGTTGGATGGGGTGGAGGTTCTGGGGCAGCCAGGGGACAGGGAACAGTGGGGGTTGGATAAGGCGTGGGAGTCCTGGGGGGCCTGTCAGGAGGTGGGGGGGCACTCAGGGGATAGGAAGCAGGGGCATTAGAGAGGGGGTTTGCACAAACCCAAACATCTTTTCCCCACCCCTTCTCTGAGGCCCTGCCCCCTGCTCATTCCAGCCCTGCTCCCTCCATTCCTCGCTTTCCCACACCCTCACTTTCACTGGGCTGGGGCAGGGGTGTGGGCTCTGGGCTGGGGCAGAGGGGTTTGGAGTGTGGGAGGGGGCTCCAGGCTGAGCCTGAGGCAGAGGGTTGGGGTGCAGGAGGGGGTGCGGACTCTGGGAGGGAGTGTGGGGGGGAGGGGGCTCAGGGCTGGGGCAGGGGTGCAGGGGGTTGAGGCGCAGGAGGAGGTTCGGGGTGTGGGCTCCGGCTCTGTGGCACTTGCCGCCATTTCCAGGAGCCACCTGAGGTATGTCCAGCAGCGGTTCCTAGGCTCGAGGTGGCCAGGTGGCACTGCGTGCTGCCCGTGCCTGCAGGCACCTCCCCTGCAGCTCCCATTGGCTGTGGTTCCCCGTTCCTGGCCAATGGGAGCTGCAGAATCGGAGCTCAGGGCAGGGGAGCAGGCGAGATGCCCTGGCCACACCTGCATCGAGGAGCCGCTGCTGGACATGCCAGCTG